ATATATATATAATATAATATTAATATTATATACAGTTATTATTATATAATATATAATATATATATATATATAAAAACTTATATTATATTATAAAATAATATATATATATATATATAATATATATATATATATATAAATTTATATATTTATATATAATATATAATAAAAGAGTAAGGGATGAGGGTATCAAATGATTTTGATAAAGAAAAATTGGGTATCAAAAATTGGGGAGGAGGGTATGAAAAAGTGAATGTTTTTTGATACTTGGGAGTTGACTTCCGGTGGTTTATGAAGGGTGAGGGTTAAACATAGAATTATGAGGGAAAAAAGGTGAGTGGGCGTTGAGGATTTTGGAGTCAAAAAACGTTACTTGGAGGCAAAAAAGGGAAAAGTATGAAAGTATAGTAGTACCAACACTCTTATTGGATGTGAACTTGGGTGGGAAAACAGCAGGAGGAGACGGTTGGGGGCAGTGGAGATGTCCTGTCTAAGGGGAATGTGGGGTTTTAAAAATTTTGCAGAAAAATTTGGAGTGTGGAAAATTTGGAGAAGGTTGGAGTTTAAAAAAGCATTAGTCAAGGGGAGAAGAGGGTTGTTGGGTGGTTTTTGGGCATTAGAGAGAATGGATCAAAGTAGAATGACTGGAAAAAATATAAATCTATAGGGGAAGGAAAGAGGGGTAGGGGCGCCTCGAAAGGGTTGGAAAGAGGGGGTAAAGGAGGTTTTGTGGGTGAGGGCTTGGACTTCCGCAAAGTGCAGAGCGTGTTAGATGGAGTGAATGGAGACGAATGTACTTGGGACCTGACGATCTTTTTGGGTGAGCAGGGTAATATTTTTGGAAGGGGTTTAGGGAAACCGGTTATTTTCATATAGTCGGGCTTGAGTCCTGGAAATGGGAAGTACAATGCCTGCCCTTTAAAGGGGGGGTTTGGGATATTGGCAGTTTGGAGGGATATGTTGTGTATCTCTATACGTATATGCTTCTAAGCTGTTATATTCTGAGCACCTCTGCAAAAGCAGTGAAATGTTGGAGTGTGGTGAAAGTGGTTGAATGATAAAGAAAGTATTTTTTTTTTTGGGGGATTTTCTTTCTTTTTTTTTTGGGTCACCCTGCCTCGGGGGGAAAGACGACCGACTTGTTGAAAAAAAAAAAAAAAAAATATATATATATTATATATATATATATATATAATATATAATATATATATTTTAATATATATATATATATATATAATATATAGGAGGGGGGGGCAGGAGGAAAGGGGAGTGATTGGTGGAATGATGAAGTAAAGGGTGTGATAAAAGAGAAAAAGGTAGCTTATGAGAGGTTTTTTTACAAAGCAGAATTTTATAAAAGAGCAGAGTATATGGAAGTAAAAAAAGGTAAAGAAGGGGTGAGAGGGGTGCAAAAGGAGAGCAGATGATAGAGTGGGAGAGGCACTGTAAAGAAATTTTAATGAAAATAAGAAAAATTTTGGAGTGATTTAAAAACAATTTAAAGAAAGCCTAGGGAAAATATGGATTTGTCAGTTAAAAACAGAGTAGGGAGTTAGTAGATGGGGAGATGGAGGTATTGGGTAGATGGCGAGAAATTTTGAGGAACTTTTAAATGTTAAGGAAGAAACAGAGGCAGTAATTTCATGCACTGGTCAGGAGGTATACCATCTTTTAGGAGTGAAGAAGAGCAGAATGTAAGTGTGGGGGAGGTACGTGAGGAAATTACGTAAAATGAAAGGGGGAAAAGCAGCTGGAACTGATGGGATCATGACAGAAATGTTAAAAGCAGGGGGGATATAGTGTTGGAGTGGTTGGAAACTTTTGTTTAATAAATGTATGAAAGAGGGAAGGTACCTAGGGATTGGCAGAGAGCATGTATAGTCCCTTTATAAAAGGAAAGGGGACAAAAGAGACTGTAAAAATTATAGAGGAATAAGCTTACTGAGTATACCAGGAAAAGTGTAGGGTAGGGTTAAAAATTGAAAGAATTTAGAGGTAAGACAGAATGTGGGATTGCGGATGAGCAAGGAGGTTTTAGAGGGGTAGGGGATGTGTAGATCAGGTGTTTACATTGAAGCATAATGTGAACAGTATTTAGATAAAGATAGGGAAGTTTTTATTGCATTTATGGATTTAGAAAAGGCATATGATAGAGTGGATAGAGGAGCAATGTGGCAGATGTTGCAAGTATAGGAATAGTGGTAATTTAAATTAAAATGCTGTAAAGAGTTTTTATGAGGATAGTGGGGCTCAGGTTGGGGTGTTAGAAGAGAGGGAGACTACTTCCCGGTAAAAGTAGGTCTTAGACAGGGATGTGTATGTCACCATGGTTGTTTAATATATTTATAGAGGGGGTTGTAAAGGGAAGTAAATGCTAGGGTGTTTGGGAGAGGGGTGGGTTTTAAATTATGGGGAACCCAAATTCAAAATGGGAATTGACACAGTTATTTTTTTGCTGATGAACTGTGCTTAGGGGAGATTCTAAAGAAAAAATTGCAAAGGTTAGTGGATGATTTTGGGAATGTGTGTAAAGGTAGAAAGTTGAAAGTGAACATAGAAAAGAGTAAGGTGATGAGGGTGTCAAAAGATTTAGATAAAGAAAAATTGGATATCAAATTGGGGAGGAGGAGTATGGAAGAAGTGAATGTTTTCAGATACTTGGGAGTTGACGTGTCGGCGGATGGATTTATGAAGGATGAGGTTTAAACATAGAATTGATGAGGGAAAAAAGGTGAGTGGTGCGTTGAGGTATATGTGGAGTCAAAAAACGTTATCTATGGAGGCAAAGAAGGGAATGTTTTGAAAGTATAGTATACCAACACTCTTATATGGTGTGAACTTGGGTGGTTTAAAAGCAGCAGCGAGGAGACGGTTGGAGGCAGCGGAGATGTCCGTTTTTAAAGGGCAATGTGTGGGGTAAATATTATGCAGAAATTCGGAGTGTGAAAAATTAGGAGAAGGTGTGGAGTTAATAAAAAGTATTAGTCAGAGGGCAGAAGAGGGGTTGTTGAGGTGGTTTGGTCATTGAGAGAATGGATCACAGTAAATACATGGAAAGCATATTAAATCTATAGGGGAAGGAAGGGGGGGTAGGGGTCGTCCTCGAAAGGGTGGAGAGAGGGGGTAAAGGAGGTTTTGTGGGTAAGGGGCTGGACTTTCCACAAGCGTGCCCTGAGCGTGTTAGATAGGAGTGAATGGAACGAATGGTAAATTGGGACCCCGCATCTGTTGGAGTGTGAGCAGGGTAATATTTAGTGAAGGGATTCAGGGAAACCGGTTATTTTCATATAGTCGGACTTGAGCCCTGGAAATGGGAAGTACAATGCCCCGCACTTTAAAGGAGGGTTTGGGATATTGGCAGTTTTTGGGGGGATATGTTGTGTATCTTTTTATGTTTTTGCTTCTAGACTGTTGTATTCTGAGCACCTCTGCAAAAACAGTGATAATGTGCGAGTGTGGTGAAAGTGTTGAATGATGATGAAAGTATTTTCTTTTTGGGGATTTTCTTTCTTTTTTGGGTCACCCCCGCCTCGGTGGGAGACGGCCGACTGTTGAAAAAAAAAAAAAAAAAAAAAAAAATATATATATATATATATATATATAATATATACACACACACACACACACACACACCACACACACACACACCACACACACACACACATTGGTTCACATTATTCTGCTCCAGCCTTGCCAAGCAAACTTGGTATTAGTACTCTTAATAATCAATGTCACTCCATCATACAAAGCTGAAGAATTCTCTCTCTCTCTATATGACTACCCAGGAGGGAGGTAGTGGGAACACTGAAGATCAGAGGATTGTTTGATTGGTGACATACTCACACTTATGGCACTTCTTTCTTTTTTCTTTCAGCGCACTGGCCATATCCCACCAAGGCAGGGTGACCCAAAAGGAAAAATGAAAGTTTCTCCTTTTATATTTAGTAATATATACAGGAGAAGAGGTTACTAGCCCCCTGTTCCCAGCATTTTAGTCACCTCTTACGACACGCATGGCTTAAAGAGGAAGAACTCTGTTCCACCTACCCTTGGAGATAAGAGGAAATAAACAAGAACAAGAACTAGTATGGAAATAGAAGAAAACCCAGAGGGGTGTGTATATATATGCTGGTACATGCATGTGTAGTGTGACCTAAGTGTTTATGAGACAGAAGAAAGACACCAGCAATCCTGCCATCATGTAAAACAATTACAGGCTTTCATTTTACACTCACATGTCAGGACAGTAGTACCTCCCTGGGTGGTTGCTGTCTACCAGCCTACTACCTAGAACTTATGGCACTTATGATGGTGAATGTGTTTCCTTGTGTTTGGTCACCCTACCATGGTGGGAGATGAGCGTTGTTTTGAAAAATTATCAAAAAACCCTAAATCTTTGGGTACTGGTCTTCTTAACCTATCATTTGGGAACCAAACAGAAAAATAACAGGACAAACATGTGAAAATTTCATTAGTACGATAATTTACTGTCAATTAATATTTTGGTTGTATGATACCTTAACACACTAAACATTGGTGAATAAATATTTTTATAAACATTGCTTGTGATTCACATTTGTTGTCTCTTGTACATCATCATTCACCTGGTCCTTGTTATAATTTGAACTTTATTATAGTTAACAAGTGCAGCATATTTTAACCAAATCAGCTGTTTCTCACCAAGGTAGGACACCCTAAAGAAGGAAACTTAGTTCATTCAGTACATGTGCATAGTTCAGAACATTTATTAGAGGAAACTTTTTGCCACTAGTGGCTTCTTCAGTCCCAATGTCCTGAGCTGTACATAAGTGTCTCTTTCCATATCTTGTTGGTATCACAATACCATTTTTCAATGCCTGTAATGCCAGAAGTGCTCAAACATCATAACACAAATGGCCTTTTGAACCACAACATCTGCACTCCACCCATCCTTCAGAGTACAAGGCACTGTATATCCTACCTCTAGTACTCACATACAGTACATTGTAGTTATAACTACTTGCCTGCAATACTGCTATAGAATCCTTGTTCACACTGTTACCAGCTCTCTTCCTCTTAGCAGCAGATGAGTGTGTATTCTGGCTGACTCCATGGGAATGTAAAGTATCCTTTCCTATTTGTTTCCCTCCATCTTTGGTCACTTCGTTCTTGGCCAACCATGAGGGCAGATTCCTCTTCCGTGTTGATACAGCTGACTGGACTTCCTGTGTAATTGAATTTCTATATTAATTACTGTAAAGTTATGAGTGATATGTACACAACTTTCAGTTGGCATTGCATTATAGAACATAGTCCATTTCTCTCATTCCAAGCAAACTGCAACATGCAATATTTTTTTTTTTTAATATGCTGGCTGTCTCCCACCAAAGAAGGGTGACCTGAAAAAGAAACTCTTTCACCATCACTCATACTATCACTGTCTTGCCAGAGGTGAATAGATACAAGAGTTCAGATATCCCACCAAATAACAAATATCACTAACCACTCCTTTAGAGTGCAGTAACTGCACTTCCATCTCTAGGACTCAAGTCTAACTGGTTTCCCTGAATCCCTTCACAAAATGTTACCTTTCTCACACACCAACAGTTCTTCAGATCCCAAAAACCACTTGCCTCCACTCACTCCTATCTAACACACTCATACATGCCTGCTGGATGTCCAAGCCCATTGCACACAAAACAAGATATTCATCCAATATTCTCCCTTCCCCATCTTCAAAACACTACACTGTACTGCTGACCCAAGACATTTGGAAAACTGTACCAGAGCACACAGGCATCATCACCCTTTAAACAATTACCTTTCTGGCGTTACTTGCAATCGCCTGAACCTCTATAGAAACTCATCTCAAATAAAAGGGCCAAAAAATGTTAAATAACATTCCAGACAAATTAAAATGATGCAACTTACCTTATGAATTTCACCTGATACTGTTTTTAATGCATCTCCCTAAATTGCCATAAAATTTTAACTTTAAAGTTATATATTACACCATCTTTCTAAATATACTGTAATCATATTATCAACCATTACTGCATCATTACTTCCTTATTTGCTTCACTTTAACTTCTGAGGCAAGTTAAAGTAGATTAAAATCTATGGCCTACACTAGAATCACTAAAGCTGCACATAACTTTTTCATCACCAGACAAGAATAGTTTAATCCTTAAAATAGTGATTATACTTTCAGCATATATACACTGAGAGGAATGCACATCTCAGTATATATTTTTTTTTAACAATGGCCATATATATATACAGTGGACCCCTGCTTAACGATCACCTCCCAATGCGACCAATTATGTAAGTGTATTTATGTAAGTGCGTTTGTACGTGTATGTTTGGGGGTCCGAAATGGACTAATCTACTTCACAATAATCCTTATGGGAACAAATTCAGTCAGTACTGGCGCCTGAACATACTTCTGGAATGAAAAAATATCATTAACCGGGGTCCACTGTATATGTTAAAAAACATATACATGTATATACAATGAGAGGTACATTTCTCAGTATATAGATTTTTTTTCAACAAACCGGCCATATCCCACTAAGGAAGGGTGACCTGGAGTTTACCTGGAGAGAGTTCCGGGGGTCAACGCCCCCGCGGCCCGGTCTGTGACCAGGCCTCCTGGTGGATCAGAGCCGGATCAACCAGGCTGTTGCTGCTGGCTGCACGCAAACCAACGTACGAGCCACAGCCCGGCTGGTCAGGAACCGACTTTAGGTGCTTGTCCAGTGCCAGCTTGAAGACTGCCAGGGGTCTGTTGGTAATCCCCCTTATGTATGCTGGGAGGCAGTTGAACAGTCTCGGGCCCCTGACACTTATTGTATGGTCTCTTAACGTGCTAGTGACACCCCTGCTTTTCACTGGGGGGATGTTGCATCGTCTGCCAAGTCTTTTGCTTTCTTAGCGAGTGATTTTCGTGTGCAAGTTCGGTACTAGTCCCTCTAGGATTTTCCAGGTGTATATAATCATGTATCTCTCCCACCTGCGTTCCAGGGAATACAGGTTTAGGAACCTCAAGCGCTCCCAGTAATTGAGGTGTTTTATCTCCATTATGCGCGCCGTGAAGGTTCTCTGTACATTTTCTAGGTTAGCAATTTCACCTGCCTTGAAAGGTGCTGTTAGTGTGCAGCAATATTCCAGCCTAGATAGAACAAGTGACCTGAAGAGTGTCATCATGGGCTTGGCCTCCCTAGTTTTGAAGGTTCTCATTATCCATCCTGTCATTTTTCTAGCAGATGCGATTGATACAATGTTATGGTCCTTGAAGGTGAGATCCTCCGACATGATCACTCCAGGTCTTTGACGTTGGTGTTTCGCTCTATTTTGTGGCCAGAATTTGTTTTGTACTCTGATGAAGATTTAATTTCCTCGTGTTTACCATATCTGAGTAATTGAAATTTCTCATCGTTGAACTTCATATTGTTTTCTGCAGCCCACTGAAGATTTGGTGATGTCCGCCTGGAGCCTTGCAATGTCTGCAATGGAAGACACTGTCATGCAGATTCGGGTGTCATCTGCAAAGGAAGACACGGTGCTGTGGCTGACATCCTCGTCTATGTCGGATATGAGGATGAGGAACAAGATGGGAGCGAGTACTGTGCCTTGTGGAACAGAGCTTTTCATCGTAGCTGCCTCGGACTTTACTCTGTTGACGACTACTCTGTGTTCTGCTAGTGAGGAAATTATAGATCCATCGACCGACTTTTCCTGTTATTCCTTTAGCACGCATTTTGTGCGCTATTACGCCATGGTCACACTTGTTGAAGGCTTTTGCAAAGTCTGTATATATTACATCTGCATTCTTTTTGTCTTCTAGTGCATTTAGGACCTTGTCGTAGTGATCCAATAGTTGAGACAGACAGGAGCGACCTGTTCTAAACCCATGTTGCCCTGGGTTGTGTAACTGATGGGTTTCTAGATGGGGTGATCTTGCTTCTTAGGACCCTTTCAAAGATTGTTATGATATGGGATGTTAGTGCTATCGGTCTGTAGTTTTTGCTGTTGCTTACTGCCCCCTCTGTGGAGTGGGGCTATGTCTGTTGTTTTTAGTAACTGTGGGACGACCCCCGTGTCCATGCTCCCTCTCCATAGGATGGAAAAGGCTCGTGCTAGGGGCTTCTGCTGCAGTTCTTGATGAACACGGAGTTCCATGAGTCTGGCCCTGGGGCAGAGTGCATGGGCATGTCATTTATCGCCTGTTCGAAGTCATTTGGCGTCAGGATAACATCGGATAGGCTTGTGTTAACCAAATTTTGTGGCTCTCTCATAAAAAATTCATTTGATCTTCGACCTCAGTCTGGTTAGCGGCTTGCTAAAAACTGAGTCATATTGGGACTTGAGTAGCTCACCATTTCCTTGCTGTCATCTGTGTAGGACCCATCTTGTTTAAGTAGGGGCCCAATACTGGACGTTGTTCTCGACTTTGATTTGGCATAGGAGAAGAAATACATTGGGTTTCTTTCGATTTCATTTATGGCTTTTAGTTCTTCCCCGCGATTCCTGACTCCTATAAGATTCCTTTAGCTTAAGTTCGATCTTGCTATTTCTCTGACCAGTGTCTCCCTACGCATTTCAGATATATTGACCTCTTTTAGCCGCTCTGTTATTCTTTCCGTCGCCTGTAAAGGGAGCGCCTGTCTCTTTCTATTTTACATCTACTCCTCCTTTTCTTAGAGGAATAAGCTTGTGCATACATCGAGTGCCACCTAGTTAATCTGTTCTAGGCATAATTGGGGTCTGTGTTGCTTAGTACATCTTCCCAGCTTATAAACGGTTAGGACTTGGTTTACTTGGTCCCACTTTATGTTTTTGTTATTGAAGTTGAATTTGGTGAATGCTCCCTCGTGACTAGTCTCATTATGTCGGTCTGGGGCTCCACGCATACATGTCTGAACCTCAATTATGTTTGTGATCTGAGTATATTGTTTTTGATATGGTGACATTTCTTATCAGATCATCATTGTTAGTGAAGATGAGGTCTAGTGTATTCTCCAGTCTAGTAGGCTCTATTATTTGCTGGTTTAAATTGAATTTTGTGCAGAGATTTAAAAAGCTTGTGTGAGTGTGAGTTTTCATCAGAGCTGCCTCCTGGTGTTATTACTGCAACAATATTATTTGCTATATTCCTCCATTTTAGGTGCCTTAAGTTGAAATCCCCCAGGAGCAAGATGTTGGGTGCAGGAGCTGGAAGATTTTCCAGACAGTGGTCAATTTTTAACAGCTGTTCCTGGAATTGCTGGGATGTTGCATCCGGAGGCTTGTAGACTACCACAATGACTAGGTTTTGGTTCTCGACCTTTACTGCTAAAACTTCCACTACATCATTTGAGGCATTAAGCAGTTCTGTGCAAACAAGTGACTCTGCAATGTACAGGCCAACCCTCCCCTTTTGCCTGTTCACTCTGTCACATCTGTATAGGTTGTAACCTGGGATCCATATTTCGTTGTCCAAGTGATCCTTTATGTGGGTCTCAGTGAAAGCCGCGAACATTGCCTTTGCCTCTGCAAGCAGTCCACGGATGAAAGGTATTTTGTTGTTTGTTGCTGGCTTTAGACCCTGTATATTTGCAAAGAAGAATGTCATTGGACTGGTGGTATTGTTGGTACTGGGGGGGGATTTTGTTTCCGGCATTAGTATCTGTATCTGTTGGTTTGGAGTGGAGGCCATTGACTGTGGTTCCACTCCAGGAATGACTGGATTTGGTGTACAATTTCTGCCATTTCCTGCCAGTTTTTTTTCCTTCCTGGCACTAAAAAACCTTCTTTTTAGGTTTTTCTTTTTAAATTTAGTAATGTATACAGGAGGGAATGCCTTCAAGTCTTGAACATGTACTCATTGGAGTGGAGGAGAGAGAGAGAGATACATGATAATATACACTTGGAAAGTACTTGAGGGCCTGGTTCCAAATCTGCGCACTGCCATAACAACATACTGGAGTGAGAGATATGGAAGTGTAAAATAAACCCAGTGAGGAGCAGGGGTGCGGTGAGGACAATAAGGAAACACTGTATCAACATCCAGGGTCCCAGACTATTCAACATCTTACCAGAAGATATCACAAACATGGCTGGAACAAGTGTAGAAGCTTTGAAGAGGAAACTGGACAAGTATCTTCACCAGGTGCCAGATCAACCAGGCTGTGAAGGATATGTGGGGCAGTGGGCCTCCAGCAGCAACAGCCTGGTTGATTAGGCAAGCACCGGACAAGCCTGGCCCATGGCCAGGCTCTGAGACTAGTTAAACTCTCGAAACTCTTCAAACGTATATCAAAGGCAAGGGGTTACTAGCCCCTTGCAACTGGCATTTTAGTCGCCTCTTACAACACGCATGGCTTACAGAGAAAGAATTCTGTTATACTTCCCCATAGAGTTCTCAGCATATTATTATCATTATTTTTTTTATTAACACACTGGCCGATTCCCACCAAGGCAGGGTGGGCTGAAAAAGAAAAACTTTCACCATCATTCACTCCATCACTGTCTTGCCAGAAGGGTGCTTTACACTACAGATTTTAAACTGTAACATTAACACCCCTCCTTCAGAGTGCAGGCACTGTACTTCCCATCTCCAGGACTCAAGTCCGGCCTGCCGGTTTCCCTGAATCCCTTCATAAATGTTACTTTGCTCACACTCCAACAGCATGTCAAGTATTAAAAACCATTTGTCTCCATTCACTCCCATCAAACATGCTCACGCATGCCCGCTGGAAGTCCACGCCCCTCGCACACAAAACCTCCTTTACCCCCTCCCTCCAACCTTTCCTAGGCCGACCCCTACCCCGCCTTCCTTCCACTACAGACTGATACACTCTTGAAGTCATTCTGTTTCGCTCCATTCTCTCTACATGTCCGAACCACCTCAACAACCCTTCCTCACCCCTCTGGACAACAGTTTTGGTAATCCCGCACGTCCTCCTAACTTCCAAACTACAAATTCTCTG